TATTGAAGAACTACTAAGTGAATGTAAGTTTTTGTATAAAAAGGTGTTAACCAAAAAGAAACAAATTATATCTCTTGAAACAAAGATTGACATCATGGAAAATAATTTTGAAATTGAAAAACAAAGTTTTCTTGAAAAAGAAAAACAAAATCTTACATGCAAAGAGTGTGAATCACTTTATTTCAAAATTGTTCAATTAAAAAGAATTCTTGAAAGATATGAAAAAGGACTAGTTGGATTGGAAAATATCCTTAGTCAACAAAGGTACTCAAATGATAAAAGTGGTCTTGTTTATTCTAAATCTAACAAACCAAGTACTAGTAAAAATATTTTTGTTAAGGCAAGTGACCAATCCAACAAGTAAAAAGTGAATAAAGTAGAAAAGGTTCATCATCATCCTAAGAATATATTTCCTAAAAATAAATCTTATGTTCCTAGATATAGAAGTAACTTTGTTCCTACATATTTTTATTATGGTATAAATGGCCTTACACCTAATGCTTGCTATGTAGGAAACTTTAGTGCGATAAGTGGGCATTATATATGGGCAAGAAAATGAACTAATTATGAAGGACCCAAGGCACATTGAGTACCAAATAAAACTTAATTTTTTTTGTAGGTCTGCTTTGAAGACTACTCCTAATTTATGGTATTTTGATAAGTGGTTGTTCTAAGCATTTGATGGAAGATATAAACTAACTTTCAAATCTAGTTATAAAGTCCAAGGGTTATGTCACATACGGGGACAACTTTGAAGGAAAAATTCTTGGCGTATGCAAAGTTGTAGCACTAACTTTCATATCCATTGAATATGTACTTTATCTTGAAGGACTAAAGTAAAATCTTCTAAGAAAAATCCAACTTTGTTTCAATGGTTTCAAAATTAAGTTCACAAAAGATAAATGATTGATTGAAGATGAAGCCACTCATGAGGTAAAACTCATAGGTAGAAGAATTAATAATTTTCATATTTTCTTTAGATAATTTATCTTTTTCGCGTCCTTTTTGCTAATGACAAAGTAGGAGAAGATATATGTGTGTATGTTGTATGCTTGACTCTAACTCTTACAACCACAAAGAAGTCAAATTTTCAATAAATTAAGGGAGAGCTTTGATAAAGGGGGAATTATCATAGTTAGGAGGAGCATTCACATACGAGCTTCTCATTTATTCTAAGAGATTCAAGCATTTCAACTTCCAATGGTTGTCATCATAAAAAAAAGAGAGATTGTGAAGTCAAGCTTCTCCAACATTGTATTTTGATGAAGACAAGTAGAATCTCTCAAGTTCATGTGCATTATCAAAGGATGAGAAAAATATCAATGTTTCAAAGCTATGGTAATCAATACTAAAAGTATAAAGTTTCAATTCAATGAATAACTTCATTTAAAATGCTCAAAAAAATTCGTAAAACTTTATCTCATGCATACACATTGAAAATAATTTAAGCATTTCCTTGTTCATTTGAAAATGCATTTTATGAAAACCTGCCAGTAATGGATTACTAAATATTGGTAACAGATTACCAATTTTCAAGTTTTTACCATGGTTCTATGGTAATGGATTACCAGTTTTTAGTAACAGATTACCAGAAACCAGTGTTATTTTAGTAACAAATTACCAATAATAGATTACTAGAAACTAGTGTAAAACAAGTAATCGATTACCTAGAATTAAAATTTAAAAAATAGAGTTGTTAGGACATGGTAATTGAATACCCATTTTTGCTAATCAATTACCACACGAAAAACTGCACTTTTTCACTTTTAAATCAACCTATTTTAGATGGGAAACTTGCATAAAACATCTCCTTTCATATACACACATTCATAGAGGTTTTATAACATGTATAAAAGCATCTCAAATCAGATTTTATTGTTTACCTCTTCCATTCAAACTTTCATTAATAATTTAAGCATTTTTACTTGAAACTTTTTATGCATAATTTCATATCATTATCAAAACTTTCTGAGCAATTTATTTGTGTTATTATTTAATTATCCATTGAAAGAGAAGACAATGTTTCTATAGAGAAATTGGTATAATAACAACTAATCACAAAAAATCATTTTCTTATGTATTTTTCAGAATTGTTTTGTAATTCCTTGTTGTCTATGATAGTTGGAAATAATAGAGTAAAAATGAAAGGATTGTTTTCTTGTTCTACTTGTATGGTTTATTCCTTGATATATCTAGGATTGTTGGAAGCAAGAGAGTTGAAAGTGAGAGGATTATTCTCATTTAACTTGGTTGATCCAAGAGGATTGTTCTTGGTGGTTTTGTTGTTAGAAGATTATAGGAGAAGTCTTGATATAAAGTTTGTACAAAGATCTGACAATAGTGAAATCTCTTTCGTGTTGAAAAGGGACTGAACGTACTCTCGGACTGTGAGGGGAACCGGGATACATCCTTGTGTTCTTTACTTTTCTGTATTTATCGCTTTCATCTTAAACCATAACCAAAAAAGAAAGAATCACATTTTTAAACTCTTGAACCAAACCAGAAAAATAAGAACAACATATTTCTAAAATCAGATAAATTTTTAAAGTCCTAATTATCCCTCCTCTTAGGCACACTCAATACTTACACGTAGTACAATGTAAAATAAGGGGGATTATGGTTGAGGCTGAATCCGTGCATTTCTCTAATTTGAAAGATAAGAATCTTATTTTGGCAACTACCGTGTTCTATGGTGTCATTGATGAGATTTTTGAGATTGATTATGTTATTTTCAAAGTGCATTTATTTAAATGCAAGTAGATTCCCAATAAAAAATATGTACAAACTGATGAGTTAGGATTCATACGGGTTGACCTTGGTAAGGCAACTTATAAGATCGAACCATTTGTAATGGCTACTCAAGCAAAACGAGTTTTTTATGTGACAGACCCTACGGACTTATTGAGGAGATGATCAATTGTTCTCAAATGAAAACATATTCCTCATAGTGATGATGAAAGTTTTGATATTCTTTCCACTCATTCTTACGCAACACAAGTGCATAACTCATATGAAGAAGTTGATAGAGATGGTGTGCATGCTATTCGTAATGATCATCAAGAAGGCATATGGGAAAATTAATAAGTATTTTATATTCTTCATTCATACTTTATTGTATGTTATAATTTCCAATGATGTTATTTTCTAACAACTATTATTAAATAAAATTAGATATGTTTAAAGTCAAGACACCAAGAGACAAGACACCAAGACAATAAGATAGTATTATTTGATGTAATAATGTGTACATTATATGTTATTTTGTCTCATTTGATGTTGATGTAATATACAATTTTTAGTTCCTAATGGAATTGTGTCATTGATGTAGTATAATTTTTGGTCTAATTCAATTCACAAATGGGTGTATTATATTTTTTTTTGGTATGATACGATTCAAAAATATTCAAATTAAAAAATTGTGAGTTCTATAAAATTGAAAAATATATTAAAAAAACAAATAATATCACAATAGTTTAAATTCAACCGTTATTATAAGTAGAGCGCTATCCAGAATAATACAATTCAAAAATGGCATTGCTAGGATTCAAACCTAGGACTTATGAATTATTTCATAACAGTTGTTTTCTTCACCCGTAGTTATAAATAGCATGCTATCTAATTTATAACCACAATCACACGCCTGTTGTGGTAACCAACACGCATAAATCACACGCTACCTAACAATAGACATATGCAATCGTTATTATATATGTTTCACAACGACCATTATATGTGTTTTTCATAGTACTATATTTAGAGATTAAAAATAAAATATTTAATAAGTCACCACTTTTAATGGCAAAAAAAGTAATCTTTAGAGATTAAAAATAAAATATTTAATAAGTCACCACTTTTAATGACAAAAAAAGTAATCTGATGCTGATGGGATTTGAAGTGTGTATTCTGAATTAGTTACATAGGTTTTCTAAAAAATCGACAGTATATATTATATACCTTTTTAAGAAAAAAAGTATGGCGCGTACATGATATATACCTCGATTTTACGATATGTGAAGTGAAACCGTTGTCATAAAAAATAGCTTTTCTAGTAGTGTGAATTGGGAAATTGACACTTTCTGACTTGCCTCGCTTAGTCATTGATGGCTGGCTATGTGAGCCTGATATTATTGAATTTTTAGTGCCACCGATCGTAGCGTAACTTGAATTTCATAAATCGAAATGAGACGCGGTCGAATGTGTTGGAAAGATAATTCGATAAGCTACTTGATAATGCAATAATGTAATATTTATGTGCATGATTCAATATTCTATTATGTGATGTATACAATTTATTATGTCATTATCAGCTTTTGTATGTATTCAGTATCAAAATTTTCAATATCTTACTAATATGATTCTAGACGCATATTAGTAGGGTGTTACATGCACTCTCTTTAAAAGATTTATTATTTTTACTTCTGGTTCTAAAAAATCAAAAGTGTCAAAGATAATATAGTATGATAGCATGTTGATTTTTGAAACACGTTTTCTCATACTTGACCAATTTACTTTGAGCAACTTTAAAAGTTGTTTATTACACAGTAAAACCTCTAGTCTTTAATCTCACTAATATAGAAGCCTTATTCAAGTTTATACGCTTATATTTCTCTTCTATCCACCCGCATACCAAAACATATGTTGGCTTAAGTGTTTATCACTTCTCTAGTGATTTAGTAAAAAAATTCACAAGACATCTTTTTCTTCAAAAATACTTCAACACGCTTAAATATATCAAGTAAATCGTCTTTAACAAAAAAAAATTGCATTTTACCTTATCAGAAAAAAGGAATAAGCATCCTATCTATTTTTCAAAAGAAATGGAAGTGTTGATTACTATAATTTTGGATGCATAATTGTGTAACTAATGTCATCATTTCTAAAAACATGTGAAAATATCTTTTATTTACATCAAAACTACAATAGCATTGCATGAGATTTTGAATTTGGACAAATTCTAATACGTTTTGGAATTTGACCTAAATTCTTTTTTTAGCGGGAGCATGGACGAGAATAATTCGGACGAAGAATCTGATAACACCGCCACTATGAGCACAATTTCTCATCACAATTTCATCAACAATTCCGAAACTATCTGCATCTCCATCGTTGAGGTGCTCAATTTCCACTTCCCAAACTCACACTTTATCACCCAAAAAATCCCAAACTAACAAACACTATGCTGTTCCATGATTTCAATTTTCAATACAGAACATGAGGGAGGATTACGGCCTATACGTCTGGCCTTGCGCTGTAATTCTTGGCGAATATGTTTGGCAACAGAAGGATCGATTTTCAGGAGCTAACGTTGTTGAAGTGAGTTTTTTTTCGAAATTCGTGATTATATGGAGTTTGTTTTCTATGGTTTCTTATCAATATTCGTGCAGCTTGGTGCTGGAACTTGCTTACCTGGTTTGGTTGCGGCAAAAGTTGGTGCCAATGTTACTCTTACCGATGACTCCAGCAGATTAGAGGTATTGCCCTTTCACTATCATGTTCTTTCTTCCTGTTTATAAATTAGGGAGTGTTTGAAAAATTTTGGTTTGAGGTTGATTTAGTTTGTATAATCATAGGTAATTTGGATTTAAAGGATATGCAGTGTGATTCTAAATTAGTTTTGCACGGACGTATAATGAAAATTCGTAATGTCATTGTAAAACTGTTTATCTACTAGTATTTGGGTAAATTCATATAGTTGCATGTTCAACATGTCCATCGGTTTTGATAAGCTTTTAATCAGGGTGTATGTTTACCAAACTTGTCTTAAGTGTTGCCTTGAATCCAGCTGTTTTCTCGGTTTGTGAATATGATAATGGTTTTCAATTTTCATTAGTATTGTTGATCTGTAAAATGACTGCGGCTTGTTCTGGACTTGCAGGTGCTTGACAACATGAGAAGAGTTTGTGACTTGAATAAACTTGAGGGCAATGTAAGCTATCATGGATGATTATTATTAAACAATAACTGGTCTTGAGGTTTTTATTTTTATCATGTTTGTAATGCATTGGCTTCTTTTGAAGGTGGTAGGACTGACGTGGGGAGTTTGGGATTCGTCCATATTTGATTTACGACCTACAATAATTCTAGGGGCTGATGTGTTGTATGACTCGAACGGTGAGAAAAGGGTCTATTTCAGTTTTTTCTTACCATCATCTGTGGATTTGATGTATCAAAGTACTGTTTCTTTTATATTATTTAGCTTTTGACGACCTCTTTGCAACCGTGACATTCCTGCTCCGAAATTCACCTGGGTCAACTTTTATAACTTCATATCACAATAGAAGGTACTTTTAACTCTCTGAGATGCTCAGAACTTGTGAAGCAATCTAGTCTTAACTCTACCCTCTGCACCTTACATAAATTTTACTAGTATTTTTTCTTTTTAACTTAGCTATGTAATAATTTGCAGTGGACATCACCTTATTGAGTTTTTGATGCGTAAATGGGGTTTGAAGTGTGTCATGCTTCTTGATGGGTTTTCTATCCTGCCAGCCTCCAAGGCTTCTCAGCTAAGTGGTAACGTCCAATTGGCAGAGATAGCTCTAATATCGAAAGATAATGCTTGAGGTATCTCAAAATTTATAATAAAATTTAGGAGTATTTGTAATTTTAGGCGACACTGGTGCCATCTATGTTGTTCTTATTGTTGATGATAAAGCAATAGAATAGGACTTGATCATCTTAAAGGAGTACCTCCAAAAAGGGACATCGTACCTCTCTGCTATAGTGATTAGCAAGTAGCAAAAATTTTGGATGGAGCAATCAGGATGGCACACATTAAGGAATTTCCAGCATTATTTTTTTCTGCTGATTTGATTTACTCTAATCACTTGGTATTTTATCATACAGTAACTAAAAAGATGTTTATATATAGTCAAATGGTTAAGTCTAAAACCCTTGCGACCAGTTTTATAATGTTTTCTAATGTTGAGTTTTGCATTCTTATCTGTTGTTTCAAATCATCACTTGGAGAAGCAGGGCTCATGTGGCTGAATGAAACCTTTCTCGACTTATTACTTAAGATTACTTATAACTTTTAAATATATTTCTAAATTGATTTGCCAAAACAAGCTTGAGCTTTGATTACACTGATACAAGAATACATATTTCTTTATAAATGAAAAAGCACAATATTTTTACTATCTTCATAATGTGATCCACCACTTTTAATATAGTAGCTTGACTGAAATACCATAGTTTAACTTGAACTAAATTAAGGCTTTCTAATTGATTTTTCTGCAGTCCTTCCTAACTTCTTGCCCACCGTTGATGCTACTCATTTTGATCATGGATTTTGCAAAAGCTTTATAGAAAGCCTCTTGTGAGGCAGCAAACTTAGAAACCAGGCGCTTGGTGTTTGGGTTGTCAAGCAAAGCCTGATCAGAAGAAAACAAGCCTTTTTGTTGGAGGATCAACTTGTAATATGTATTATCAAAAGATGTTGAAGAAGGGTCCATCGTGGCGCCTGCATTTTTTGCCTTATTTTTCAAGAGACAAGTTGATTTTAGTTTTGCTGCAAATGATGGATTTAATGAAGGATCCACAGGATGTGTAGCATTAAAGTTTTGGATTCTGTTCCGGAAAGATGAGCAGTGAGAGAAACCTAAGGTATGCCCTCCTACATATCAATCAAAACTCAAAGCAAGTTACTTTTATCTCCATTCAGGTATAGATTGAAAAGCATGAAAAATGATGAACTTTTGGTGGTTCATAACTTGAGGAATAGCTTACCTGACAGAGCTACCAAGTCTTGGACTGACAATGCTCTTTGAGAAAAACTTTTCTGCAGTTGTGATATGTTGAATGTTGGTGCTGGTAATTGTCTTGTTTCACTGGCCTTAGATGTTCTTCCATCTTTTCTTCCTTTAGGAACATCCCATTTAGGCCCTCCAGACTGTAGAGTATACATAGATATACCATCAATTTAAACTTAAAAATACAAGTTACCATATGCGAAAAACAAGAACATAATGGAATCTCAATGAAGAGAACATTGGTTCATGGCTTTGTTTTATTACCAGATAAACGGCGTCTCTTGCTGCGAGAGCAAGGATATCAGCACAAGAAACTACGCCAGGGCATTTTGCTTCTAATGCTTTCTTTGCATTATCAATAACGTAGAATGCATGCAAGGAAATGTTTGGTGGTCCATCCTTTTCTGCTTTGTTGTTTCCTTTCGAGTTTAGCAGCACAGAGGCATCACATCCCTTCAAAAGTATGAGAGAAAAAACAACCCGTTCATATGAATAGTCAAAATGTATAAATGGCATGGGGTAAAAGGAAACAGAAAAACAAAACAAAACAAAAACAATGTCAAGAAGAAAGGATTTTGTTATAGCAATACTCGAACGAAGCAATCATGGAAGTGCATTCGCAGAAGTGCTGCTGGAACAGTTTTGTCCTTAGAAGTAGCATCCTTCACTGCCTTCAAAACAATAAACTCCAGATCATGGCATGTCTTTTCATAATAGTTTATGCTCAGTGATTTTCCTATTGGAACCACTGAAAACATGATAATTAAATTCAAGAATGTAGCCATGAAAGCCATGCTATGCTAACTAAGAGTACTTGATTATTGTTTAGATTTTTAGATGTTGAAATCAAAGATGGGTTGAATGGTTTTATAAGGGGAAAAAGAGAATAATGATTAATATGAGATAAAGTGGTCCTAGAGATTAGTTCGTTAACTAGTATTGTCAATGAAGTAGTAATGTTTAAGCATTCTCATTACGAAAAGACAATCCACATTATGTGCTCCGTAAACCAAAGGAAGGTTCAATTGTTTTGTTGTGCATGTGCAAAGTTACTTTTTTTTTGGTTGGAGGTGAAATTTGATGGTGTAGAACATGTTACTATCAATCAGAATAAATTAATTACATGGCTAAGCAAATCTAGTGTTCAGCTATGATTGCATGGTCTTCATGAGTACGATTAAACTAATGAAAAGTCAAGCCCCATGAGACATTTGTGTAGTATATGGTTCATTGACTATTACATATCCTTTTAACTTATTACATATTCTTTTGACTTATTACATATTGGTTGCCTCGTGCGCGACAATGAGTTTTTCATGAGGATCCAACATAAGTCATTGCCATTTGAACAACAAATATTCTTCATGAGAATCGATCATATTTCATTGTCACTCGGGTGACTTGATTAAGATTCTAAAATCTCATAGTCGACTCCAGCAAAATAAGAACAAAATTCTACGGAAGTTTATAAAGAAAAATGAGACTTCTAATTAAAAACCCATGCGTCCACGGGGGAAAATAGTGCCACCCCATTAAATAAATGATGTCTTTGAAATAAATTATACAAACGACAGAGGTGATATCTTGCCTTAACTAATCCAAATGATAATCTTACTAAACAAAACACGACGTTACGCCAAACAAAGTTAATAAACTCGTCATGACCTCTTCACCTGATACTTCCATGCTCCTTTGGAACAATGCGATTAACTCTTCATCTTCTAGAGGCGTTCTCTTTTTCTCTCGGGGCTATATTTTTGGCTTAAGGTTCACAACATTCACTACCGCGCTTTTGGCTGCTGGGCATAGGCCACGACCATAGTTACCCTCTTAAGCTTCAAAATGTCTAGATAACATCTCATGGCAGTCTTTTAATCATCATGGTGTTCACAGTGATTTCTGGTAAACAACCGCTAGTCTTCCAAACTATCGAATAAACTTAATTACTGTTATTCAATTTCTCTGGTAACTTGCAGGATCGACTAGATTGATCCTATGTGACATAGTTGTTTGGCTAAGTCTAATTGTAAAACTGATATTCATATTTATGACTTCTAATTAAAGTGTTTCAAAGACATCCAATCCACTTCGATTACTACACTAAATGATTTGAAGGGTAATTTCTATATGGTATAAGGAATGTTCATTAGAAAAGTAAAAAAGACTTAAGATTGGGTAAATGGCAGGATTAAGTGAGTGAATGTAAAAGTTGCTGAATGTTTAAAGGATTCGAACATAAGAAAAGCGTTTAAATGCAGAAAGAAATAAATGACTCTGAATGTAGAAGCTTTAATGTAAAGGCATGAACGTAAAAATGTTTGAAGCACAAATGAAATGGAAATGAAAGACAAAACTGAAAAATATAAAGAGTTTTCATTGAATTGTAAATGTTGGTGTTATCATACGTACATCTTTCGAGCATTCGTTTCCCTATCCATGCGGTATTTTGAATGTTTACTGAATTTGTACAACAGATATGACACCCCGAAATCCTAACACTAAGACCTCTATTTATACTATTTCGACCATAACGGTCTTGCTATCAGAATCTGCCACGTTCGAAGCATGCAGAGCATTACTTCCCTCTAGCCTCCACGCGTCCTCGAACGCTCCAACGCTTATGTATTTAAATTTCAAATATCCCGCTCACGTTTGAATTTCAAACGCCTTGGAACCTTCGTTTCGAATTCGTTTCAAAGGTTATTTTCGAAACAACCTTCACAAATATAATCTCATCATTATTTCGAACATTCTTTAGACTTACACTCCACAACTATCATTCGAAACCTTGAACTTTATTATTTCCATTCGAAAAAACAGTCTCTTCCATTCCAAACCATAAAACTTGCTTTATTCAAACAAAGCCCAATCATTTCATTTCGAATCACAATATCAAAATCTTCAGCCAACAAAATGCCCCTTTAAAATATGTATTTCGAACCCTTTGAGAAATACTTATTTTAAATAGATTCACAAGATTTTGACAGGTCTTTTAAAGAATCATGACATTTACTGTGCATGACTTTACCCACGTCAATCAAGACGCCTCTTTGAGTACCTAACCGTCTTGGACCAGTTACCACAACATGGTGCGGTTTTAAAAATAATGATTACTATTAATCACACTCATTACCAACACTAGATCTTACGCCACCTCTCTCTGAGTCCAACCAACGACTTCCACGTACCCCTAGTCTTATTTAGTGGGTGTTTTACACTCACTCTTCCACACTCTCTATAAAACTAATCAGTTTAGTCTTTTCTTCTTTTTCTCCAAAATTCTGAAACCCCCCTCTTTTTTCACTAAACCCTAAAACTTCCAGCAATCTTAACAATGTCTTCATCAACATCATCACTGTGATCGGTGGAAATAGAACTGACTGTTTTGAAATGCTGGTTCGCGTTTGCGTTTAGCAAAATGTCGCGGTAAGCAAGAGTCGCCACCGTCTTTTATTTTCTCCAACAAGGAAAGGACAAAAGCACAGCAAAATTCCTTTTCGAGATGTTTCTCGGTTCGGGAGGTAGATTATAGAAAGGGAAGGTGTTAGCACCCTTTCTATCTGTGGTTATCCATGGGCTCTTAGGTACTTGCTCACTATGTTTTCAAAATATTTTGCTTTTCTTGTGTTTGTGGGTTTTGAAAAAGTATTGTTTGAAAACTTCGATTCGACTCTTGTATCAGTCCTCAAGAGTGTATGAAGTGTTTGTTTGAAAAAAACTTTTGTCAGAAAAGTGTAGGTGCGAAAAGTGTTTTTGTTTTGAAAGAGCAAGTATCTAAGAACCTCTACCTACTCAAAAGAAATTAAGCTGTG